GCTCAGAACTGTGACGACGTCACGTTGTTCAGCAGGAAGTGAACACCTCGTTGTCCTTGTGTGGACCAATCACAGGAGGCCCCACCCCCCGCTGGCTCTGGTTGGCTGACGACAGCAGTGTGACATCTGATTGGTCTGAAAGTGTAATTAAATTTCCTGCCAACAAGCTCGTTAATCGTGTTTCCAGTTAATTCAGCTCATTAAGAGACTCACCTGAGATTTCTCATCAGGACGGGCACTCTGCCTCTTACTGCGCCGGCGCTCATTGGGCAACGCCTCCGACACGCCTACCAAGAAAGAGAAAACCCAGCTCAAAGTCTGTTGCACAGCCTCGATCGCGCCGCAGCCTCGCTACTTCTGCTACTTCTGCTACTGTTACTCAAGTACAGGCTTTGTGTACTTCATCCACCCCTGGTGTCAGATGACTTATCAAATATCTGGCAGGAAAAGAAACAAGGAGTTCACCTGTAGCAAACCGGTGACACCATCAGCCTGCTGCCGCTTCACCTCAGTGTTCGTGTGGCTCTGTGTGTCAACAGTTCTGTTAACAGCTGTTAGACACAATCGTGAAAATACTGGACAGCATTTAACCAAGAAATGACAATGACAAACCGGTCATCCATCCCCGGTCCAGTACACCAAGAAATATTTCATCTCCAACCAGGTATCTTTCACAAGTCACACACCTACCAGAGCTAATCAACTACTACAGAGGATTGTTGATGATGATAAACAAGAGCTGAACATCTTCAGTACACTGATCATCACTCACAGGACGTGGAAAATGATACTGATCCTATAAACACACCAACAGCAATTGCTATTATTACACTAATGAACAGTTTAATAGTTCAGTTTAGACTGAAAACTATCAATAATCCTAACTTTCACAACACTAAATGTTGTCTAAATCAGTTCAAACAGCCTGTCAATATAATTGCTATATCTGAAACTTGGATAAAGAGTGAAAAGGGCTCAGACTTTGAAATGAAAGGAAATGAAATGTTTTGTATTAACAGAGAAAACAAGAATGGGGGAGGACGAGAAATTTAATTACAAGGTGGCGCAAAAAATGTCTACAGTGGTGGATGATTTACTTGAATAGTGTTCCACTAGAACTATGCAGGGAAAAAAGAAACATGTTATTGTAAGCTGCATCTATAGATCACCAGCTTCTAATATCGATTTATTTAAGGATTGGATGGAGGAAAATTTACAGAAAGTCATGCTCATCTGTGGGGATTTCAACACTGATTTGCTAAATCCAAACAAGCACAATATTATCAATACAGTGTATAGTCTGGGCTTTTCCCCAAAATGACCAGACCCAGCAGGATTACTTCCCACTGTGCAACATTAATTGATAATATTTTTACAAATGACGTAGATAACAATACAGTGAGTGGACTATTAATAAATGACATCAGTGAGCACCTACAAGCTTTTACAGTTTACAACAACAACTACACATCTAAAAAAAGACAACAAAGCTCTTTTCAGACGGGTCAGAACAGAAGAGTCTATGGTTGCATGTAAAGATGATCTGCTTTCACAAGACTGGGAAATAATAGATAGGGGAAAAGATATTGCTAGAGTACATGGTGATTTCCTAAGAATATTTCAATTATTATATGATAAGAATTGCCTGATAAAAAAATATTGCAGAAAACAAAAATATAGTGATAGACCGTGGATTTCAAAAGGATTACTAAATGCCTGTAAAAAGAAAAACACACTTTATAGAAATTTATTAAACACAGAAAATCAATATAAGAAATGTAAAAATAAGTTAATTAAGTAAGAAAGAATACTATAGCAAACTATTAGATAATAATAAAAATAATATGAAGGGTCTATGGAATATACTAAACCGTATTATAAGAAGGGGCACGAGACAGTCTAATTATCCCCAGTATTTCATTGGTAATGAAAAGAACATCAATAACGTGGAGGACGTGGTCAGTAACTTTAATAAATATTTTGCAAATGTTGGACCAGATTTAATCCCTATGCCACGGATAGAATGATCTTATTGAAAGAAATCAGTGTTCAATGTTTCTTGAAGCAGTAGAAGGAAAAGAAATAATAGACACTGTTACAAACTAAAGCATCCACTGACTGTAACGAAATAGATATGAAGATAGTAAAAAATGTAATTGAGGGGATCTTTAATTTGTCATTCCAAACTGAACACCACTTCACAAATCACAGGCCTGTCTCTCTACTGCCACAATTTGTGGTTGGGGTATTCATTGATTTGATACAATTAATCATGAAATATTAATCAATAAACTGGAAAGGCTCGGGATCAGGGGGATAGAGCTGAATTGGTTAAGCAGTTATTTAAAAGACAGGAAACAATTTGTGAAGTTGGGAGATTATACATCTGAATGTTTGGACATTGCGTGTGGTGTCCCCCAGGGGTCAGTGTTGGGACCAAAATGATTTATCCTCTACATAAACGCCATATTTAAAGGATCTGAACTACTCAAATTTGTATTATTTGCAGACGACACAAACATCTTTGGTTCTGGTCAGAATTTACAGCAACTTCTGGACTTAATCACTTCAGAATTCAGAAAAAGAAAACAGTGGTTTGACACAAAGAAGTGATGATTAAATTTGAGCACAACTAAATTCATGATATTTGGCAATTGTAAATCAATCAAGTTTAGTTACAGATCAAAGGTGTTAATACAGAAAGAGTATATGAAACGAAATTCCTTGGAGTGATTATAGACGACAAGATTTGCGGGACATAAAACATGTCCAAACAAAAGTGCCTAGAAGTATTTCAGTCCTGGCACCTTCTAGATTCCAGATCACTCCACATTACGTATTGTTCGCTGGTGTTACCGTATATCAAAATTCATTGCAATCGTTATTTATACTTAGCAATAAGAATAATTCATAACACTGGATATTTGGAACACACCAACTCATTAATCTTACAGTCTAAAGCATTAAAACTACTTGATCTAGTTGAATTTCAAACAGATAGTAATTACGTTGAAGGCTAGAAACAATTTATTGCCTGGCAATATACAGAAAAGGTTTTCTGAAAAGAGAAGGGGGCTACGACTTAAGGGGAAAGTCAAATTTTAAGACTCCCAGTTTTCGATCTAGTAGGAAAAGTTTCTGTTTATCTGTCAGTGGGGTTAAATAAACTAAGTAATGAATTAAAGCAATGCCCAAGCATAAGAAATTATATTGCAGAGGTACAGAGAAACACAGTGCTAATAATAACCTGGGCTTATATTGAAGAATTTGTAGTATGTATAAATATTGTTGTGTATGTGGAATATCTGTATGTGAATAGAATATATTTTAATTGATTTTTTAGATTTATAATTTTGTAGTTATTTCCTTAAATATGGTAGTGAGGGTATAAAGGGGTAGGAGTACATACGTTTTACTTCTTCCTGTCTCCTTTTTGCACATGTAAATAGAGGTTTTTAAGTTTTTACCACCAAAAAAAAAAACCAATCAGAGAAACTAGCTCTGGTTAGCTCATACTTGCTAACCCTCCCGTGTTTCATCGCCCTCTCCCAGTTTCCTCCCGGGGTCACCTCTCTCTCTGTTGCACAGGCAGCATGCAGGCGCCTGCAGAGAGCTGGAGACAGTCAACTCAAATCTGAACTGGAAAAGATCGGAGCCTGTGACCTGGGCTGGTTTTGGTCACTTTGGCTGCAGTCTGAAGTTCGGACAGGACACACCAGGAACTAACAGATGTAAACGCTGCAGAGTTCTGACTCTGAGGTGCACCGCGAAGTTTGGAAGATATGAACTTGTACAGAGATGAGGAACGATTCCAGCAGCCTGCATGCTGAGTGCTGCATTAAGACACGTTCGGTTTCCGCCGGATCACTAACAGATGTTTAATGCACGTCAGGTCCTCGCGGCACCCTGAGGTCCCAAACTGAACAGGATGTTTTGCTTCCTGATCAGATCAGCTTTATTAAAAAGTGATTAAAGAGCAGAGTGATGGATGAGTCCAATCCGATGTTCCGCTTTATAATCTTGTTTCTTCTTCTGCTGTGTTTGTCAGAGAGCGAGCCGTCTGTACCTTCAGTTCATGGTCAGGATCAAACTAAGGGTCAGTAAGCTGCTCTTCTGCAGGCTGCGGCTGAAGGACTTGTTGCTTCTGCAGCTCCAGTTTCAAAGAGCCGTAACGACATTATAACGTTCGCAGAGCTGCTTTCAGGCCGATGTTATCGCGTCTCAGTTTGTGTTGTTGGTTTGATCGGCCGCTTTCAGGAAGCAGAGACGCTGCTTCTCTGGAGGAATCTGCTGCTGACAGACAGCCCAGCCCCCTCAAATCACCATCCAGCTGCAGTCGTCATGGCAACTGAGACACAGAGGTTAACGATCAATAACGCTGAATAAGTGATCACACAGAGGACAGAGAGCAGTTCAGACTCAAAGGCCCACTGACACAACCCTGCCTGTCCTCATCCCAGGGCGCCGCGTCTCTTTAACGCCCTGGGTACCCTTCAGCATTGTTTTGCACAGGTATGGCTCAGAGATCAAGTTAACAAGAATAAATATGCAACGTCTGGTCTGACTTTCAAAATAAAACTAGTGGTTAGCGTTGTGAAGCACCGCAGTTTGGTCAGGTTTAGGAACAGGTCATGGTTTGGTTTGAAATGACTGTTACCTACGTTACTTAACTGATGTAAGTTAAGGAACTAACATAACTGAAATGTTGACTCTTTGTTTCACACGGCAATCGAACACCGGTCTCCCGGGGGAAAGTGGGGTCTCTTGTATCTGGTTTCACTTGTTAATGAACTGCTCCAAATGCTTAGAAATAAAATAAAGGCAGGTTTCCAATTCTGCCGACAGTGCCTGAATGCAACCTCCCAGAGCTAGCTGCTCGCTGCTAGCTGCTCGCATGTTACCCGGTTTCTACGTGATGTCTTTAGCTCCTGTGCACCGGCAGCTAACGTCCTCCTTTCTCTGTGTCCTTTTCCGCCTCCCCATCCCTTCCCCACTTTCAGACCAATAAGGCGGTGTCTAAAGGAGACTTCCACCTGGCGAGCTCCAGTTCAAGGCGGGCTCTCTTCCTGGCCGTGCTGTCAATCACCATCGGGACGGGTATCTATGTGGGCGTGGCCGTGGCGCTCATCGCCTACCTCTCCAAGAACCACCACTGGTAGCCTCGTCGCCAGGGAGGGATATTACCCATCAGACACCAGGAATGTGTTGGGATGTCACCTGGAGTCCGGCTCTCAGCTGGGCTTTCCCTCGGCAGGACGACCCGCAGCGATGAGCTTGAGGAAGACTTCCTGTTTGCAGACGGCACGTTCAACCAAAACGCGTCGAGACGTTCGTGTTTTTAAATGGTGGCGTCGGCCGGCTGATCCAACCTCGATGGGTCGACTTTTTTTAGGTGACTCTGGAGTTTGGAGGACTCTAACCTGAAGACTTTAAACCAATCAGATCGCAGGATCTTTGTGAAGAATTGTGGGGATTTTTAACAAGATGAGATGGAAACAAAGAAGCTGCAGCTGTTTGTTCTTCGGTCTCATTTCCAGTGTGAGTTTTTCAAAGTATTTCACAATGTCACACTGTCACAATGTCGCACTGTTACTTCACCCTCAAACAATCTCTATCCAGGCTGAGACTTACCTGTGAGACACAGAGAGGATGGTGAAAGTTTTGGGAACCAAGACGCTTCAAATTTGGTCAGACAAATCAGTTGGAAACTTTAAAAACAATGAAACATAAAACAAAAAAGCTGTTTAACTTTACCGTGATTTATTTTCTTTAAATTATAGAAATTAAAAAGTGAAATCCTTGGTCAAAAAAATCCTTCCAAACAATGAAATGCACCAAAGTTTGCAGCGGTCTTCTCCAACACGATGCAGACTACGTTTGTTGAACAGTTATTATCTAGAAGTCGATGCTGCAGCAGCCATCTAAACTTTAAAAAGAGTATTTGCTGCTACTTCTTTTCTTCAGCAGCAGAAAGAGCTCGTTAGTAAGTTATAGAGCAACCAAGATTCAGCAGAAACACACTTTTCTGCCACCTCCACCTGACACCAAACCACTTTCCGTCACAGTCATGGTGCGTTCACATGCTCCTCGGATGGTCCCATTTCCTGAGGTGTGAAGTTGTTCTTTAGACTTCAGTGTGTGTTAATGTGCTCTTAAGTTGGAATGTGGCAACAACATGGACGCTACTACAAAGATGTGTTGGATTGTTGTCATCAAAGTGTGGTGAAAGAGTTTAAAGCTTTCTATTACAATTTATTTTTAGATTTGTTTCCAACAGTTGTTACTGCACCAGTACATTACCTGAAACTACTGACATATTGCTTTTACTGCAAATAAATAACTTTCCTAATTAATCTTGGACACACTACATGGACAGGAAACAAACCTAAACTAACCTAATACCATATTACGAATTACACGTTAGCAAGAAATGTATTTGTGATTTTGCACCATTAATCAAAAGTTTCAAACCATCTGCCATGTTTGTCCACCATGTTTCCATGTATATGATGTCAACAACCTGGCAACTCGTGCACCAAAATGTTCTCAGACTTTCCGAGTTGTTGTTCTGACTTCAGGGGGCGTTCACGGGAAGTTTCCCAGTTGGGGAATCATTTATCCGATTATTCCGACACCATTTGAATGCACATTCACATGCTCTCAATGCACTTAAGGGTTAAGTCCTCTCAGGAACCCTGAGGACTTCTCAGGGTTAAGTCCTGAGAAGTCCTAGAGTCCTGAGAAAGAAAGAGACATAAACAATCACACATGAAGTGGACTTTAACGCACACCTGTTGGACTGGATCGCTGACGTTGGACACAAAGACCTGTTGAGACTTTTCTGTCTCCGATAAAAGAGAAACTGTTGAACTTTATTTTCTTCTGCTTCGGTTCCTGTGAAGGTTTTTACCACAAAGTTGCAGCTGATCACAATCAGACCTGCAGGTTCCTGATCATCCATCAGTTTCAGGACAGACTTTACTTTCAGTTCATTTCTATGTAAAACAACCTGCACAGAGGAAACCCATCGCTTTCTGTTATCTGACTGCATCAGGGCTGTAAAACCAAACGGGAAAGCATCTGCAGATATTACTGAGCTCCAGGTCTGATCACAGCCATCAGATTCTGATTTAATAGCTCTTTAACAAATCCACTGCGATATGTGTCAGTAACCAACTACCCCACCCGCCTGGGACTACAGGGTGATAGAAACAAACACTAACTCCACAGGCTATCCAGGTCTGACCAAGGCTTAATGTTTACAGGGCGGAGCTCTGACGGGGAAGTTGTTGTAAATGCTCTCGTCTCTCACCGACCGCGATCACGTTTCCCAAAATCAGCCTGATGCTAAGCTAACCACCGCTCTACTGTTAGCCAACAACCCAGAGACAAAATTTTAAAAAGTACAAGCTTCGTGTCTGAGCAGCCAATCAGGATCTCTCTGCTTCCAGACCGACCAATAGACGTTGTCTCGACCTCCGGGCGCTGTGTTGAATCAGTTAGGGAGACTAATCATTATCTCTGATGTCCATCCAGAATAAACAGCCAGACATTTCCGCTCAGGTCTTTATACACGCTAACAGAAAAAAAGGTGGATGGAAACACACTTATTAGTAACAAGCTGGAAGCTAACATTAGCTAATTAGCAATGCAGGTTGGAGAAATAACTTCTTTTATGATCCTTTCTTATGTCTTTTATCAGTCATTATCAAACACTTGGTTCAGTACTGAAGGAGTGTTTATGCCCAGGGCTGGTGGCGAGCCTGAACCTGATTAGCTTACAGTGTCAACATAAACAGTGTTGCTGGGTTAACTTCATCAACGCAAAAACTGTGAAGAAAAATAGTTGTTGACAGTCTGTTTTATGACAAAAATGAGTTCAAAACTTAATTAAAGGACAAATGAAGTGATTACTGTTTTAATGTAAATTAAAAGTTGATTTAGTTGCTTGACCAGTTTGACCAGAAGCTTCTTATCTAGTAAGTAACAGCCCATTCTCATTCTCATGGCGTCAGATAGTATGTGTTGTCAGTTCCTTTAGCATCTGTTACCAACATTGTTCTACGCTAACCGGAGGCCTGTTTTAAATACAGAAAAGTCGGACTGTGGCCGGGGTGGACTGGTTAGAAAAAGGGCTTTCATCCAGGAGACCAATGTTCGTCTTCTGTGTGAAACAAAAAGTCAACATTGCACCACGATGTAAGTAACTTACATAAGTAATGTAGTTAAATTCAACCCAAACCATGATCTTTTTATAAACCTAACCAAACTGTAATATTTGACAACTTTAACCACCAGTTTTATTTTGAAAGTCTAACCTGAGGTTGTAAATGCATTGTTGCTAACTTTACCATGGAAACCTACATGTGGAGAAACGACGCTAAAAGGTTGCCAGGGTGTTAAAAAGTGACGGTAAGTGGTGCTGACGCAGCGTCCATACGTGACGAGCTGGGATGAGAATGAGTTGTAAGCATTCAACAAAGATGGCGGCAGCTGTAAACGCTCAAAATGATTAGAAAACTCCAAATTTAAGGATGCATGTGTGAAGAAAAAAATTTACTGACAAATATCTTCTGGTTAGTGAACAAAAAAAAAAATCAAAATACTGACATTTGACCAAAACTAAACTGTTACATTTTCGTCTAAAGACTGAAAGTCTAAATCAGGCCGAACAGATGAAGGCTGGAGTGTTACTGGATGTGATTGGTTGGTCTGGACTCTAACCGACCCTCACAGTTTGAAAACAGTAAAACAAAGTGTTTATTAAATTTGCGCTGAGATGTTGTTTGGGAAACGTGAGCTCTGTCTTTATCTCATTCTTGGCAGCTTAATATATATAAATACTGGGCTAAAGGGCTGCAACCATATGGATTCACTCTGCTGACACACCTGTTGGGCTGCGATGTCACCCACACCTGTACACTTACTGAATGTGTTCACACCAGTGGAGCTTTCCTTTCATCAAACTCACACTGACAGTTTGGTAAATGCTGTCTGTCGGATTATGGAGCCCACCAGAGGTCATATGGTTGAAATATATAAATGTATACACAGTATATGAAATCCATGATTGCTGCAGGTGCAACAACATCAACAGGAAGTTAGATATTATAGTTTGGCTGCACAGACAGCAGGTGGCGCTGCAGCAGAGCTGATTAAGATACTTTTTAAATGCTCTAAGCCAGATTAGCGCCAAAGATCACACTCCTCCTCCTCTGAGTCAGAACTCAGTCAGATCTGAACCCCCAGACATGAAACATATGCTGGATCATTCAGTGTGGCCTCCACTTCCCGAGTATATCCAGCCCGTTCTCATTCCCAGAGCATCGAATAGCTACGCTTTGTCACGTCTGTCCCTTTAGTGCCACTGTTCCACGCTAAAAGTAGGCCTGCTAAATATAACCAGAAAAGTCAGAGTCAGGTGGTGGTTGGGGTGGACCAGCGGGACAAAAACCAGACTTTAACCCTGGAGGCTGGTGTTCGTTTCCCACGTGAGACAAAAAGTAAAGTGATTTCTTTTAGTGATGTTACATAACATACGTAAGTAGCGTTAATTAACATGTAATTTATGTCACGTAAGTAAGGTAGTTATTTCAACCCAAACCACAACCTTTTCCTAAACCTAATCCAGTGATTTGGAGCCTAAATCTAACCAAATTGTGACATTTTACAGCGTTAACCAAAAGTTTCAATTTGAACGTCTAACTGGACGTACAAAAACTAAAGAGTACACAGGACATTAAAAAGTGAGGCCGAGGGTTCTTGAGAATGGGTCCATTTGTGACACCCTGGGATAAAAACGGGTAGTGAGATCATTATTTCTGATGTCCGTCCAAGTTAAACATCCAGAATTCAGCTTACAAACCAGAGAAAGATGCTGCAGAACGTCCCGAGTATCTTCATGATAACTTACTGTACATCCATGCTAACGGCTAACAGCTAATTCTAATATTTGTTTTCTGATTATAGTTTGTTTTGTCAATTAAACGTAGAAATAGATTTCCATATATATAAATATCATTTCTACCATGTGACCGCTGGTGTTTCACCTCTGTAAACCCAGTTCCAGGATGTGTTTAGCCTAGCTTAGCACAAAGACTGGAAGCAGGGGGAAACTACACACACACACACACACACACACACACACACACACACACACACACACACACACACCCCTGTGCTTCTATCCTTATGAGGACCATCATTTTCATAATGCATTCCCTAGCCTTTTACCCTAACGTTAACCATATTCTACCCTAACCCTTAAAACCGAGTTTTACCTTCAAACAGCTCTGTGAAGTTGTGAGGACCAGCCAGATGTCCTCACTTTCCAAAATGTCTACACACAGCTGCAGAACCAACAGAGCTGCTCTGGGATTGTTTGTTTTTTCCTCTTTTTTAACAACTTCAGATGCTTGCTGATAAAAATTAAATGTTGTATTTCCACTGAAACATTTGTGTTTGTGTTTTAAGTTCACTTTGGTTTACATTGAAACACCTGAACAACTGTTCGATCTCATGGTACCCTGAGGATGAACTACAACAACTTTGGTGATCTTCAGACTTTTTCTCTAGCGCCATCATAATGTCAACATTTTAATGTGTCCAATACTTTGGTTTGTGTGTCAGGAATCTGGTTAGAACCCAAAATCAGACTGGAGACAGACAGGTCAAGTTAAGCAGTCCCTCCTGGCCACGATCGCAACTATGAATACAGATTCAGCAAATTCCTGTGAATTCAGTGCGACTTGCAATTTTTTGTATCAGTGCCGTTTTTAAAGGAGGTTAGGTTAGTGTGAGGTTTAGGGAGCTGGCTGCTGAGAGGGGCTGAAGTTTTGGAAAATATATCCAGGGGGATTTGTGGCAGAGTGAGCTGGCTTGGCTGGCAGAGGAGGATATCCGTTTGGAGGTCTCTGAATATGGGGAAAACGAGCAGAGTTTCTAATTACAAGCAAGTTAGTCAGCTGTTACGCTAAGCAAGACATACTATGACTCAACAATCTGAGGGAGACTGGATGTAATGCTGGATCTTAAAGGGAGGTAGAGTGGCTTGGTGACGGTCGGTGTGTTGTCTGCTGATTGCAGGCAGGTGAGGAAAATGCCAAGCCAGAAGAGCCAGAGGTAACTCCCACAACTACCAACTGAGAGACAGATGGAAGAGACACTAAAATCTAATTTTAAGCAAACTTTTTAAAAAGAGGCACATTTCTATCAGCTGGTTTGGAGTGAATAAACCCTGCTATGCAAAAAGTAGTTTTATCAGAAGTTAGGCATTGCTGTATTAGACAAGAAGTAGAAGTTGCAAGCTGGAAATGAAACCAGTCGCATGGACTGGAGCACCACGGAAAGAGGTCTGCAGGAATACAGTACCTGCAGAACATGTCAGGAGATGACCAGGAGTCAAGAGGATTCATCCTCTGGGGACCATGAATGTCAGACAAAATTTGTCAACATGTGGGACCGTTCATCAAGTAGATGTTGAAATATTTAAGGGAAAACGTTAAGTTGACATGTTTGCGGGCTCAGGAAGTAGCTTCACTAACTACATATTCAAAATCATTGCTTCTGATGTGCTGCACAGAAATGTTTAAAAGACATAAATATCGGAGTGTGTTTCTCTGTTTTCAAAGCAGCAGCTGTTTCCTAAATGCTGACGTCAACGGTTCACAATTACATTTCATGAAACTTTAATGAACTCAAAGGGGAAATGTGGTCTTGAGGGCAGACGGAGACGACGAGCACAGAGCTGATCAGGAAAACAACACGTGAGAAAATCACAGAATGAGCTGTTAAATGTTTTCATCTTTACCTCTAATGTTTTATTTTCTCCATCTTTTCTACACCTCCTTCTGGAAGTGGTTCAGGAGCTGTTCTAATATCTGTTATTGAAAACTGTTTCCAGCAGAACAGCCGAGCAGGTGAATTAGTTGAATGGCAAAGCACAGTTATCCAGAAATGAAGAACAGTGAGTGATCCATAAATCCACACAACAAGAGGGGCACGAGGAACACTTCTGAAAACACAAGAACTGAGAAACTACATACAGGCATCGTTTTTATGATTTGTGCATACATTTTAAATTTTTGAAAAAGTTTTTATAATCCAAGCTTTTGGTTAAATAATCTGATGACACATTTCATTAAACTGCATTTTATTGTTCATGCAGATATTTTATAATTCAAACAAGCAGTTTGTTGCTGCATGATTTTCTTTTTTGTGTGTGTGCGCATTTATTACGTGTATTTCCAGTAAGGTGAGTTTTTGTTCTTCTTGTCTTCCCAGAATCAAACCCTGTAACTCCAAACTGTCACATCTGAACTACAACACTGGATGAAGCAGAGCAGATAAACTTGTCTCTGTCATCATACAGAGCTCGCTCAGTTTGGAGATAAAGATCTGTGACGATAAACAGCAGCTGTTCCAAAGGCAGAGCTGGTGGGGGCTGATGGGTAATTGACCTGATGCATTGTGGTTGTTGTTGATCTGATAGGAAGGAGCAACAATACAAATGTGCACTAATATGAACAGTGATTGTCCGCGTATCTTTGAGAGGACCTGGAATTTAACATTCAATACGAGGACGTTTTTGGAAAATGAGTCTGAACTTCTACACCAAAACTTCACCATCAGCAAAAAATAGACAGCTATTGGAGTCAAAGTAGATTAGTAAATTAACTCAGCCATATTAAAAAGGCAGAGTACGCAACAGGATGTTCAAGGCACCTCCGTTTCCGTTCAAATATAAACGCTGTTGGGCTGAAATCGGCCCTGGGTGTGTTCAACACCCTGTTGTGCAACCCAAGCGTTGCAACCATGGCATGAAGAAATTTCAGAGCCTGTTGAGTATGAACTAGTTAAATATGATGTGTTAATGCTTTAGAAACATGAGATAAAGAGTGTTTGTAGAAATCAATAAATATAATCTCCTATACATTTAAATTAAATAATTACTAGCTTATTCCTTTTAAAACTTGACTATAACATACTTACGACAAACGTGACTTCTGTCTTCAACCAAGTACTTTTCCATTGTGTGCACAGCCTTTTTAATTTGGTGGGCTTCATTGACATGCCACTGCTGATTGGTTAACACCCTGACACGCCCACCAAATGAGAGAAAACATACCTAAAAGCCCGCTGCAGACTGTTTCGAGGAAACACGTCATTCAAAGCAGAAACCGTAGCAAACGTTTTGAGATTGTGCCCCAATTTGGGAGTCAGACCTGAGACATCAAACTGTGAATTCACAGCTGCAGGTATTACACATATCTTATAAAGAATTAATCTTACTATCTGAATAATGCGCCCATTAAATAGAAGTGAAAGGAACTTAAAAGTAACACAGATGTGTTGTAAAGCATTACAACTCAGAAACAGTAATAGCAGCACTGCCTGTAATTAGTGCTAAAAATATACGTAAAGGTGTATAAGATGCAACATACTGTTAATCAACTTGGAGTTGAACAGGAATTTATTTTATATTGAGACAATAAAATCATGAACATTTGGTTCTGTGACATCACAGCCTCCACAGGATGAAACACTGTTTAAATCGTCTTGTTAAACTGGCTGATCCAGGTTCAGTTTGTTGGGTCAGGACAGGTTTTGTGATGACACAACACCTGTGCTGAAAGGAGGAGGCGGGACCTGAACCAGCTGATCACTATCAGCTGAGTCAGAGCTGCAATGCATGCAGGGAAGCAGAGACTTCCTGTGAAGCCATCACCAGTCTGAACGCTCAGATGAAGCCTGACTAAGGCTCAGTGAACAAACATGACAGTTTGTTCCTGTGAACAGAGCTGATCTGTGGTCAGAGTGTCGCCGCCTCACAGGAAACACAGACAGAGTGCATGATGGGCCTGAAGACGCTGCTGCTCGTCTCTCTGCTCGGCGTTCTGGGTAAAAGTTTCTTCTTCTTTAACACGGTTAAATTTAATTATAAATGTTTACATGTTTGAAATGTTTGAAGACAAATGTTGTGAAACTGAAGTTGTTTCAGGCCACGCAGGATTTCTCTTTTTTCAAACCATCAGTTTTCAGACTGACTTCCTTCTTTCCATCTAACAGGATTTAACTCTGTTTGAAAGTGTTAAAATATAACACGACAACTTCTGTGTCCACCTAACAGCTTTTCATGATTGTTTTGATGCAGTTTTAGAAACAGAAGCTCAGTTTATGAGGATAAATGACACAAACACCAGTTTGTTGAGATCTTAAAACTGTTCCTGCAGTTGATAAAGTCACACACTGGTGTCTAAAGAGGAAACTCTGCAACATAAAACTCCTCAGTCAAACAGAAACGAGCTTCTCTTTCAGCTCTGAAGCTGCAGATATTTAGTGGAGAGAAACTAAAGAGAACTCGTGTTAAATGTTTAGTGAAGCGATCGACGTGTGAAAAGGAGACGAGGGTTTGAGTTTGTGATCACTGAATTATATATATAATTTATCTATGTACAATCTATCTATGTGTCTTTGAACACACCACCAGCAGGTGCGAGCTGCAAGTACGTCCAACTGTCTGACAACATGATGGAAAGGATCCGTATAGACCTTTTTAAAAAGTAAGACTCTTCTCCTTTAACCAGAAACAGCTGATAGATCGCTCTGTTCACGCCACCAGACGAAAACAGCAATTACCCAGAGCCCAAAGTGACACCTTCATGACACTTGTTGTGTCCAACCAACAGTCCAGAGCTCAACATTAATAACAAACATCACAGTTAGTACAAGTAAAGTAAAAAGAAGAAAATACCCAAGTAAAGTAGAAGCTCAGACGTCCTGCAGACTAAAATCTATCAGAACTCTAGTGAGGCAACTGTTAGAGACGAAAACTTTAAGATCAGAGGTCATCAGAGGTGACTGTCTTCCTCTTCCCCTTCAGCGCTAAGGGTCGCGGCGGGCAGCCATCATGGCCTCACTCTACCTGGAGCTCCATACAACGTTAGCGAGAACGACCCCGGCCTCCAGCAGGCCGTCCTCGACGGCACCTACTTCTTCAACAACCAATCGAACGACGCCTTCCTGTTCAAGCCCTCCTCCATCCACAGAGCTCAGCGGCAGGTACAACACAGGAAACGCATCATGTGTAATCTGTGGGGTCAAAGGTGAACAGAGTGACCCGTCAGGTCCTTGTCTAGTCCAGAGTCTGGAAACCCTTAATTTACCCCTTTACTGATGATGTCATGAAGGTACTGTAATGGATCCAGTATTGATTTATTATAGAAGGTGTTACGTTTAAGACGTAAAACTCTTTAAAATGTTCCACGTGAAATATAAAACTCGTGTTGTTGTAGAAGTTTATCATCGTGCCTCTCCTGCTGTTTGTTTTAAGTGAGTGAAAGTCTGAGTATATGCAGGTAGTAAAACTGTGTCTGTGTACTATATCACATCTTTACGAATAATTATATTTTAATGTGTAAACAAATTTAATAATAATTTGCACCTTAACTGAAACATTAATGTAATTTAAAGGTGCAAATTTACTTTTCTTGGAACTGCAACTGGAAGTTT